GGACGTTGCAACTAGTTTTCCTTGGAAATAAGTAAGTCCTTCTTGTACAAAAGTTCCGTATGTATATGAAACTTGTGAAAGACTTTTAAGATGGCAGAAACCACCTAAAGTGTTTTGCATCTCTGCATATAGCCACTAACTTTCAAGGGATCTAGTATAATTTTGTTCAGAGTTCACCCAAATTTGATAAAATTGTAGCAGTTCAATGAATGCTGCCTGCCTGACACTGCTCAGTCTGGGATAGTCACTGAAACCCAGGATGTGTGCAAGGTCTAACACAGCAGTAACACTTGAGCATGCTGGAACTCCTCAGCAGCAACAGAGCATGCTGAGGCAGGACAYGTTTTGTGCCATGACTAATTACAGTATCATTGTGTATTGTTCGATAATTAGTAAATTCTGATAGGAGTTTCTATTTTCAGTGGTCTCTTCACTAGTGTTTTGTTCTTCCATTAAAAAAATTGGTTTATCCAAAGTATTGTGGGCAGCACATTCAGGGAGTTGATTCTGTCCCCCAACTGCACTGTGGTGAGAGCCCAGCCCTGTGTCCAGCTGTGGGATCYTCAGCACAGGAAGGACATGGACCTGTTGGAGCAGGTCCAGAGAAGGACCCTGAATATGATAACAGGGATGGAGCACCCATTGTGAAAACAGAAAAACAGACTGAGCGTGTTGGGCTGTGCAGCCTGGGGAAGAGAAGGCTCCAGGGAGACCTTATTGTGGCCTTCTAAAAGTTAGAGGGGGCTTAGAGGAAAGATGGGGACCAGCTTTTTCATAGGGTCTGTCTCAATAGGATAGGGGTAGTGGTTTCAACTAAAAGAGGTAAATTAAGACTACATATAAGGAAGAAATTTTTTTGTGGTGAGGGTGGTGAAATACTGGAACAGGTTGCCCAGAGAGGGGGTAGATGCCCTGACCCTGGAAACCTTCAAGGTCAATATGGAGGAGCTCTGAGCAACTTGATATTATGGAAAATGTCCCTGCTCATGTTGGACTAGATGACCTTCAAAGGTCCTTTTCAACCCAAACTATTCTGTTTCTGTTTCTATGAGTCTATGATTCTATGGTATATGCATCTTTATGTGTTTGTGTGATTGTTTTGGGAATGAGAAAAGAGGTGAATGAATGGAGCACATTAGGAAAGCCTTTACACCATTGTCTTATTTAGAGTGTCAGAGACCAACCTGCTCCTTGCACATTTTTTGAGCCTTGCTGGGTAAACATAGGGACTATATAGGATGTACTAGGAACTGGCAGATTAATTATTCAGAGAATTACCAAGAAGAGCAGGATGCTTTTAGGTTTTTTCATTCATAGAACTCAAGATTGGACAGTGCTTTGTRAGATCTATGTTAGCCAAGCATAGACTACTAGACTTAATAGAGGGAAGCAGCTGGGTGAGATATTTGGACTGTGGTTCTGTTAATGATATCCTTACTGTATTCATCCAGTAGGTTGGCCTATTCTGGGGTTTAAAAGGAAAGCTAATTGTGCAGGCACTGTCTCATAAATCCTCACCCATTGGTTCAGAAAAGACRCAGGGAACTTCAAAATGTATAATGTCCCTGGTGGAAATAAAAATGCCCCTGAAAATGCAGGTTTCATGTAGCTGCAACAGCAATTTCACCCCAAGTTAGAGCTTGGTTCTTCATTTCCAGGCAAAAATTTAGATTTTCCCATGAAAATGCCTATGATATCTCAACAAATAACATTGTTTCAGATAGTTCTGAACACATTTACGGCAAAGCAGGAGCAGTGTGTTCCAAGTTAYCGTGTTCCATGCTGTGTAGGAGGAAGGCAGTTCTGTTTGGAGCAAGAGTCCCCACATATTGTCAATTAGGAGCAATTCCTGTTYAGACAAACCCCCAAGAATACTGTTCTGGCATGCATGCTTGCAAATACAGCCTGTCTTTATTTGTTGTAAGCATAAGTAAGAGCCATGGATATAAATTTGTAAATATTAAAGGCTTGCATATGCCTGTAACAGTTCACAGGCAATTGCTCAAACGCTCTGGATTCCACATTGTTTTCCTCAGGTAAGGCAGACTGTGGCCCCACATGCAAAATGTAAGGTAATGTTGAATATGTGTGGAGACTGGTGTACACAAGATCATTTTAGTGGGTTAAGCTATTAAGTTATAGAAAGTGGGTCAACTTTCCAAAGGCTTGTTGAATCAAGCTGTCTGCCCATCACCCCTCATTGTTTTCATCTCTCTTCTCCCATTTCTCCCCTCAAACTGGCAGGGGTTTGTCAGTCAGCTAATTCTCCTGAGCAGCCCTTGAGAAAAACTTCTTCTAGTGAGAAAAATGTGTTTCATGTCAAGTTAGGTCTTTTCCAGTCACCATGCAGACTAGCTGGCATAAAGTGATTAACATTACTTAAAGGGAAAACATCAAGGACTTTCAGTGAGAACCCTGTTTGTCAGTGCCAAGGGATAAAGAATTTACTGCTTCACTTGAGCATTGGTTCCAGTGTAAGATTGTTTTCAYGGGTACATTTTATTCCTTTTTATTCCATTTGATTTGGGTCCTGATAAATACTTTTGAGCACAGACACATTTTTTTAATTCCYGCCTGAACTTTTTGATTGGCACACCACAATATGCCAAATAACTTTACCTGGGGCTTCTATATTTGTAATTTACACTAGGTACAGTATCAATTTATTCAGCTACTTCTCCTCGATAGAGTTTGATTTTTAGCAGATGTGTAAAGGTGAGGGGGCCTTGACAAAGAGAACAGCATACATCACCAAAGAGAAAAACTGAATTCCCTCTGTGTTTGTTATTCCAAATAAATTAGCCTGGGCATAATTCAGTATGGATATAATTGGTATAGACTGAAGAAGCAATTCGCACATTCATTTGAAAATTCAAATTTGTTAAGGGTTATGTGGTCATGTTTTCTTTGACTAAATGATTTTGTAGCCTCTTAGCCAATTTGAATACTCTTTTATCAACTGGGTTGAAGTAATTCAGRTAATGAAATGAGTTTTATGAATATAGATGGAAAGGTATACAGAGAGACCCTATAAAATCTCTGAGGAAAAGGATGGTAGTGGGAACATGTGTCTTTTGACATGACAGAAGAACTGAAATACTTATAAGCCCACCAACTTCAGGAAAGCCTGCAGTCAGAATTTAAGACATAAATACTCATTTTTGGTGCTCTKGACTACTGACTTGTCTGTGAAATGCCAGACCAATCCTGGCACACTCCTATGCAACACGTGAACAAAGAATGTCATAGAAGGGGTTTTCCCTCTTGTATCAGATTGACTCCAGCCATTTAGACTTACATCACTCACTGAAAGCTGGGTTGAGCTRTTGACATTTGTATTATACATTCTTCCTCTAGTTTGTTCTCACAGGTTATTGTGTGAGATAAGACTGAATGAACATTAACAGGACCTGGAATGTATTTTAATTGTAAAGCCCCATCAGACATACTGATAATTGCATGTTCTATAATTRAAACTGTGTATGCTTTTCTTTCTAAGCATGGTGACAGCTGTTAGAGCACATCTGGAAAATATGCTTTATGCAAWAGTATTTCAGCTCAGAGAATTTCACAATGCGTAGGATATTTATCAGCATTTCTTTCCAGAATACTAATCTGATTTATCAGTGTTTTTAATATTAAAATCTTGCAATTTTTTATGATGTTTGCAAATCTGTTTTTGAATTCACATACCAGATTGGCCATTCCAGTGTAGTTCAAGGCCAAATGCTGCAGAACAAAGCATTACTTTGCTACTGTTTTTAGGTAGAAGCCTTCATAAGTCTTGTCTGATGGCCTAATARTATTTTCTTCACAGACTTCAGCCAAATATTTTCTCTTTTTCTGATTCTAAAGAGAAATTATTGTTTCATACTGGAATTTCATTGAGAGGAAAAATTCTCATAGTCCTGCTCTGTGGTTCTTGAGGCTCATGTTAACACCCTTCTGTGGTGTCACCTTTGTACCCCCTGCAATCATTATACTATTGCTCAGGACTCTTTGAAGTCAGTGYGAGTGTTTACAAAGTAGGATCCTGGCCTCTTGGAAATGAACAGCAATGTTTCTGTCTGTGCTAGGAGCCCAAGCATTGTGGTTTCTCTGCTTTCCTCAGAACTTTGGTATAGACACTACAAAAACAGATTTTCTGGTATCATTCATTAAAATGGAACAAGAAAGCATAAAACCTCAAACAACTTTAAAACTCTCTATGCATTAATTTATTGCTAATGTTGCTTATTTTATTTGGACAAAAATTACTAAACATGAAGATTCAGAACCTCTGAACCTCAAGGTATCACTCTAATCAGGATCTTTCATTCTGACTCACGCATCTCAAAAACTGCCAACCAACTTGCTTTCAAGACGATGGGGGAGAATTTGCAGACAGGGAACGTTTGCTAACATGCGTGCAAGGGGAAATCAGTTTCCTTTATTTGGAGTAGGAGGCAGCTTTTTAATGATTGATAACATTGTGTTGGAGCAKCTTCACCCCTGAATTTTAAATCATAAATGCTGTGCTTCTTGTGAAGTGGGAGGCAAAATGCAGTTATCCAACCAAGGGAGAAGCTATAGCTGCAAAAAATAATGAGATTAAAAAAAAAATCTACAGTAGTGATACTATAAAATAATATGGAACACATTAGTGGTAATGTGGGAAAATTAATTACAAATTATTGACAGTTTAATTGACCTACGGGAAGTATTTTTATAGACTTTGTGTGCTGTGCTGCTGTTCTTCAGTTTTTTTTAACTTTTCCACTGAGCAGAAAACAACTTTTTCCAATTATGGGGTTTAAAGTTGTAACAAATGATTGCTCTGGGCTGCTGGGTTGTGAGATGTCAGCACTGGATGTGTGACTGAGGCTCTTCCTTTTCTGCCCAGCACCTGCAAAGCCCATCCTGTGAGCAGGGCTTGGGTGCCACTGCTCTGCTCTCATCCCAGTCTTGCTGGTTGCAGAGGCTCTTTGCAAATGATACTTACAAGGTGATTTGACCCCCAGGCTCCGRCTGCACGAAGAAAAGGTCATTAAGGATCGGCGACATCACCTCAAAACCTACCCCAACTGCTTCGTTGCCAAAGAGCTGATWGACTGGCTGATTGACCACAAAGAGGCCTCTGACAGGGAGACAGCCATCAAACTGGTGCAGAAATTACTGGATCACAGCATTATCCACCATGGTAAGTGCAGTATCAGCTGCTAAAAAGTTCTAAGCTAAATTTTATTGACTGCTGTGAGACAAATGGAAATCCCATCTTGCTTTTCAGCCAAGTATAGAACAGGTAGGATCCTTTTCCTGCCAGAAATCTCCCTTGAGCTGGGCTGCTGTGCAAGGTCACCTGTGTGAGGTGAGAGCCTGAAGAAGTGTGATGTTCCCCATGCAGGGGGGGAAGTTACTGGAGTCTATGGTGCTGCTTCCCTGCCTCCAGAGCAGCCCCAGCTAGATTGTGTCCACCCTCTCCCTGCTGCCCTCATTTCCCTGCTCCTAAGAGCACAGTTCTTCAGCTGAAAAACCCATCTGAAAAATCAGCCAGCAAAAAAAAAGATCATTTTTCTCACGTGGATTAGTTCCCTGGCCCTGGCCCTCACACCAGCTGCACAAACATTAGTGCTGGTGCAGCTGCAAGAAAGTTAGTGGTCTGGCTGTGCCCTGATTAATTTTCTCCTAAACTTGTTGTCTATTTGAGATCTGCTCATTTCAGCTTCTTGAATAACAATTCATGCTGATGAAAAGRAGCTTTCCAATTCACTGGTAGCATTTAGTTGCCTTTTGGGGCACAAAGAGGCTGGGAAGCACACAAGCAAAGAAGATCCAAGGCCTCAATTTCAAGCCTATAGTATTACCTATTTCAAAACCACAAATGTACCATTTGTTTCTTTTTTAAGAGAAAACTGAGTCACTATGAACAGACGAATGTTGACTTTATGCAGAGGTCATTGTGTGTGTGTACAGCAATGCCGCTGCTATCTACACATTAACAACACCTTAATTAAAAGTCAGAAATGCACATATTGAATGAGTGCCACTTCTACAGCTTCTGCTTGGCTATTAAATGAAAATTCTGGGTTGTTATGGAAACCGGGACTCACGGTAGATAGTTAAAGAATAAAGTAATTATAGGGTATTCAAATCTGTCTACTTAATCCTCTGTTGAGAAATGTCAGTGAAGAGTTGCATGGATGCCTGAGTGACTTAATTTAATTGAGCAATCAATGTTTTATTGCTGAATGGTTGTTTAAAACTCTAACAACCTTCAGGCATTTTATACCTTAGGATCCAATTGCAAACTGTAGAAGAAATTTTATAAATATGTGTGCATGTGTTCGAAATAGAACAAGTGTTTCTTGAAAATGTTCATGTATTGCACTTCAATAAAATAGTTTACTAAGTGAGCTTGGGTAGGTAAATTCAGAGAGGTTCCTTCAGGTTCTGCAGGATGCTCAGAGCAATCTTTCAAGTCCTGAGTCAAGTGAAAGGGGTACCAGTTCCTGATCCTGTGGTGCAGAAGGTACCCCTGTATGTGGGTTGACTAGTCTCTTAGGAAAAGCTTGCTTGGGATAGCCTTCCCATCAGTTTTTGCCGGAGCCCATCAACAGCTGCTGTTTTACAAACCTAATTTGGCATCTCAGTATGCTCATGTCGTACCTATCACTTGCTAGAAGGCATGGCAGAGCAACTGAGACAATTTTAAGAGGGCAGAAGGCTTTGATTGTAACTGTTTCTTTAGGAAGTCTCAAGTTTCCTGCAGCACTGCTAACTGATATGGATTACTTAAAGAGGTTTGGTAAACCTTACATTATTGGGCATTCTACTCTGGTGGCTTTTTAAACTGACAAGCCAACAGACTGTTTACATCAAAGGGTTTTCTGGGTGTGCAATGGATGGATACTTTTTTGCTCCTCATGTTTGCGATATTACTATTAAAACTGATGAACACTTATCCCCCTCACTCAGAAATTGGTTACCTCTCCAAAAGTTTTCTCCAGCCTATCATTAGAACTGAGTAAAGTTGTGTGCTCAGAAATGCAGGGGATTGGGCTCTGCATGTGCTTGCTTTCAAGTTCAGCAGCTGTACCCACTAAATCTATCCTCAACTACTTAATATAAATGTGAAGGTTTTTTTTCTTTTTTTTTTTTGTTATTTTGTTTCAGTCTGTGATGAGCATAAAGAATTCAAGGATGTCAAACTGTTCTACCGCTTCAGAAAAGATGATGGGACGTTTCCACTGGACAATGAGGTGAAGGTGTTCATGAGAGGACAAAGACTGTATGAAAAGTATGTTGCATTCAGTATTCATATGTTGATAATAGTGCCATGTGATAGTGCAAATGATACTTGTTAATCTATTTTTTAATAGTCCCAGAAGCTTTCAATTCATTCAGGAAYGGGTCTGGGTAATCCCATTACTTTAGTTGGGGGTCCTTCCCTGTCCCATTTTTCTCTTGCCTTTCTACCATATTCACTTGAGGCATTTCATTTTAAAAGAAATGGCATTTTCTGATGTCCCAGATTGTTAATACTGCCTATATGAGAATGCAATGTAGATTGAAGCTTTTGAAATCTATTCTAGAAAAATAATTACAGAATTATTTGTCAAAATAATTCAAGTAATTACATAATTATTTGTCATGTAAAGGCCTAATCATAATTCCTAAAATGTTAATACACCAAAATGCGCAGAACAAGCAGCAGCATGTCTGTGGAGACTCCATATCTAGAGTTTCACAAGGAGGGATGATTTTAAATCACAGGTGAATTGTATCTTCAGTGTTCCAGTTGGCAAAGTTTCAACATCAGAAAAGTTATGTTAAAAGTATTTCAAAAAACCACGAACCCAACGAAGAGCATCTAATTATGACTTTAAACAGATTATTATGCTGAGATACTGAATATCCCAGTGGATYATTTCTGTCAAGTAACTAGGTATCTTAATCATACTTCCTAATATAAAATTAAAGACATTTTTATTTAGGATGTAGAGATTTTGACACAGTGCWTTCAAGCAGAAAGAATAAAATGTATGTTGGCATATGCTACAAATTAAGGCTAAAGTTGTGATGTGTTGTTTACCAAAAAAACTGGAAGTATATGCTGTAGACTGAACACCGCCCACTATCCTGCTTGCGTGGAGCAGAAGCAGCAGCCAGGAGAGATGCTGTGTTTTCTCACTGGAGGAGATTTGTTTCCTTCTTAGAATAAGGTACTYGGGAAACTCCTAAGTTTAAAAGCTGATAATAAATACTATTTTCAAGGTTACCMAGCTTTGAAGATCAGTTTGGTGAAAAAGCAGTGAAACAAAAACGTCAACAAGTAATTGTAAATGCCACTCCTTTTGTTGCACCCATCATATAAAATACTCTGAGACATAGTGACTGTGACTATTAAAAAATATAATAAATTGTTTAAGACATAAGAAAATGCACCACTGGAAAATATCTTCCATTCTATGCCCTGGTACAGGTGAATTGAATCAGGCATCTCCTAAGCCTTCTGTGTCTTACTGAGCACAGCATTTGCTCTTTGGACTCAATAAACATGCAGTGCCTATATGTGTGACCTGTGCTCTGAAAAGCAGATTAGAGTGTCTACAGTGCTTTTCTTGGTCTATATTTCTATGCTAGTTTTCCATAAGAAAAATATTTTTTTTTGTCAATGCTTTGCATGAAAGGATCCACGGTAGAAAGAACTTTGTTCTACCAGTGTCTGCTTTGATCACCATTTCTCTGGATAGAGAACTATTCCCAAACCAATGTATTTGGTCCAGTTTGTTTAACATTGTATTAACAGAAAAATGTTCATAATCGTAGACATTGTTCCCATCTTGGAAAAGGAGTTAAAGCCAAAAGGTGCGCCTGTATCTAAATATAACTGCATCTTCATAAGGTGCTTGCTCCTAGGCAACATATCTGAAGGGTTCAGAAACTTTTAAAACCAGCCCTGAGTGCTTAATATAGTATCAATTAAAAATACCTGGCATTTCATAACCAGTATGTGACAGTCAAAGCTAGTCAAAATTCTCCATGAATCATCGGAAGTATTTCATATTCATGGGGGATAAGAAAGCACACCTGGGCTATCTGGGCTTCACTTTGTTTATTTTAGCAAATCCACTGTGCAGAGATTTCAGATTTTGGTAGTTTCCTTGTCTGTGCACTTTCATTAGCAACACCTTCACAGTTTCATTGGATACATTTTAAACTCAAAATCTAATACTGAAAATCAGGAAGAGTGCTGCAACGAAATGTGTGATTGTGTAATGTATCTGTTGTATCAGTTTTCCTGATAGTGATGAAAAAGGAAATATTAATTCAGTGCTATTAAAATAATGACTAAATGGCAACAACTGGAGATAAGTATTCACGCACAAACATGAAGTCACTTAGCAGCATTTCCGAGTTGTTTACCAAAATGCCTATGGGCCTAAATGCAAGAGAAATGCAGCTATGCCAAAGGAAATCTATCCAAACCCAACACATTTTGAAAATCTGTGTCTAATTTTGTAGTGTTTGCTAATCTTCAGTAGGCTTTGCTAATTTAAGATAGACATCATTATTTCCTCCTCTTTTCCGCTCTCTGYGTTAGGGCTGGAGTACCACTGTATTCAGAAGTCAGCATAATTTGTGCTTTCCAAAATTTCAGACACATTACCCAGCGCCAGTCCACGCAGAGATTTGTATCTTCATTGGGTAAAATGAACAAAATTTAGAAGGATCAGCAGATTGTTGCATGGGAAGAGGGCTGGATGTGTTAGGCAGGTTCCTTGCATTCAGACTGCTGTTTTGGGTAAATGCCTCGATCTCTGCCCTGGGACAGGGGAACATCAGGACTGTCCCTCTGCTGAGGGGCTCYATTTCCTGTCTCTCTTCTGCGTGTCCACAAAGCTCCTTGTAACCTGAGCTCTCCTTTCTTGTGGCATTACCTCCTTCCCCTGCTGTGGGCATCTTTGGTGGCTGTACCAGTGGGATTAGAAGATTTAAAATCATTCTCTGATTGTAWTCTCCCTTCATTTGCACTGAAAACCATGAATGAGTTCAGGTTCCCTGCACATCATTGCAAACTTTGSTAATCCTTTCTGTGAACATGCTTTGAGCTTCAGTATAGAGATGAAACCTACAGGATTTCCTACAGTCTTGTCTGAAACTGTTGAATTGTTTATAAGATCTAAGRTTGGTATCAGCTTTCAAGCTCTACAGGACTGACCACATAGATTGAATGAGATAAACATGTTTTCTCTTCAATAAAACTCGCTGCAAATCTTATATAAATCCAACACAGACCTTTCATAGCTTTAAAAAACAAATCAAGTTGTGCAGCCATCCTTTTTTATGATGTTTGCAATTCTCAGTAGGGTTTGGTCAGGCACACAAGGTTGTTGTTTCTGGTGCAGTCATGTTTAGGAGCTATAAGTCATTTCATGATGCTGACATCAACTGAGATTTTTGAACCAGATTTCACAGCAAAAGAAGCGCAGATTTATGGTTTTAATTTCAGGAAATCTTTCAGATAATTTTGAGACTGCATTCTTGGAATCACTTTCAGTTTAACTCACTAGTGGTTAAATTGCATTTATCCTCTGGTGCAGTTATTTTGATAAAACAAAGTTAAAGATTTCTTTTGAAAAGGGGTTTGAATTTCAGTGTTTGGCTAAACACATTCCTTTAATGCAGGATAACATCAGTCTCAACAAATAATACGTTTTAATTATTAATGGCCTCATGTTTTTTTTTTTTTTTGAAACAAGGAGAAAATGGAAGAGTAAGAGGCAGTTTCCAGTTCTGCCTAATGAAAGGCCAGGTTTTTGATTGATGTAAATTGGTACAGTTTTGTTGGCAGCCAWGGAGTTACAGTGATTTACTTCAGTAAGTGATGTAAGTCCATGGATTGCTGTCTCTGGGCTTCCTAAACTGGCAATTTGTCGTGTCTGTTTGTTCACAAGTCCTAATCCTTTGCAGTGCTATTCTGGGCTTATGCAGAAGGGTGTGAAATGTCAAACTGAGTGKTTTTCARCTTGATATTTTTACAGAATTCCTTTGTGTCTCTGTAAAAATCTTAACAATTAGCATTGCCTTTTCAAGGATCTTTCTATCTTTGAATTCAGTGAGCTGGTCAACTRATTATAGACTCATCAAAGAACAATTAACGTAATACTAAGGATTTTTTATTTGGTGCCTGCAGAGCCTGGGTAACCAGTTGTGGGTAACCATGCAGCAGATGGTACAAAAAGACACAAGCTTTGGGTTTCCATTTTTTTTTCTGGGGGGCAAAAAGCCCGGTGAACGAGACACATTTAAAGATAGTCCCTTGGAGCACAGTAGGTCTCTGTTAGGTGTGGTTAGTGTGGGATAAAATGCTGTGGGACAAGATGCCTGTAAATGAAAATACTAAAAAAGAATAAAGTCTGCAAAAGTTCTGACATCAATATGTTGTCCCTGCTGGCTCATACTCTTGTTTTTTGACCTAATCTCTGACTTTAGCTAATCCTGACTTTGTGAGTTCTTACTCAGCTCAGAGGTGCTGTCAATGACGCATCAACATCTAAACGAGCAGTTTGTGCTGCCACTGACACGCTGCTGTGTCTGGAGAGCCTTTGCCTGGTTTGATCATCTGCTACCTGGTGGTCTGATCCAGTAGGTTCAGACCTCAGGTTAGTGCTCATTAAAGTCAAGAGAAGAAATCTTTCAGATGAAATAACAGAGGTTGGGCCCTGTCAAACCTCTTCACTGTAATTTCAAATGAAACTTCTCTCCGAGTTCCTATGGCGCAGATTTTTCTGATGCTTGCCAAAGGAGGTGAAGTTATATTCCATAATCTCTGGACATGCTGTCAGTTTAAGAAACAGATGGCTCACGTATGGATTTACATRAATTTCAATTCCTTTATCAGAAGGGCAAAGATTAAGCACTTCCAGAATATGCCTGTTGTASTTCAGTTGTGTTCTTAATTACAAAATAGTTGGTGAAGGGAGGGGATCTATTTGTCTTACATGGAAAAAATGATCTTTCCATTCTTGAGCTGTTACTCTGAAAGTCCTACTGTTAGCTTATAATAAGTAAAATAATTATGAAAAAAAAAATAGGTGGCTAAGGATGCAGTGGTGCAATGTCTCCCCCCTAAAGAAGTGTAATTCTGTATTAAAAAGAAACAATTCTCATTCCTTCTTTCAAACTGGCTTCTCTTTCAAACTTTCAGRCTGACTTTTGCATTAACAAAATGAGGCCTTTAAAAAAAAAAAATACTGCATCATTTGCATAGGTATCTTGAATAGGGAAGAATTTTATTATTATCCTTCAGCTACGTACATGTGAGTTGCTAGGAGATTTAGGGACATCTCATGATKTTCCTCTGACTGGTGTTACACACAGCCAGCTGAGGCACAGAGCACTGTGASTCTCAGATGTTAAAATGTGTTCAGGTTTGTGTGTAACTCACTGACTGCAGCTGCCTCACCAAATGTTAGATACGCAATATTTATCAGCCCCCAAACCACAGAACTTCCTTTTTTCCTCCTCTTGAATTYTTCTGCAGCTCTTTTAGAGCTTACAGAGAGAATTTTCAAAGTCATCTAAATGACTTGGGGGCATAGTCCTGCTAACTGTAAATATTAATTAGGAAGCTTTGAACACATTAGTCACATTCTGGTGCTTTYAGGCTAATTTTTTTTCTAAGTTGATTATACAGTAACTTTTAGAGAATGTAAAACACTAAATAGGGGAAATACAAAACTTAYAAATCTAATTTTCTTTTAGGGGAAAAAGCTAGAAAGCATTAATTTTACACAGGGTTATAAAGCCTAAATCTCTTGACTAAGCAGWTATAATTCACCTCCTAAGTAAATGGATAGCTTGAGGAAAGATTTAGTAAGTCCGTGAAAGCTTCATATACGTTTGCTTAATATCAGTGAGATTTGCCAAAATAGATCTGGAATTGCTTTTCTCAAGAACCATTTTCCCTACCAATTCTTCCCCCCTCCATACCAGGCTGATGAGTTCTGAAAATACCCTTCTGCAAGCCAGGGAAGAGGAAGGAGTCAAGTAYGAACGGACCTTTGTAGCATCGGAATTCATTGACTGGCTGATCCAGGAGGGAGAGGCCACGACCCGGAGTGAAGCGGAGCAGCTCGGMCGCAGGCTCTTGGAGCACGGGATTATACAGCACGGTGAGAAATCCACTGCCAACCACCACAGCCTACACCCACTGTAGCATTTTCTTCAGGTCAAATCACGCGGAGGGGCCCTTGTCTCTTGATCATGGTGTGTTTAGGTTGTAAATTARTTCAGATAGGAGTCTAAGTAACTTTATTTAGTTAAAGGGTGGCTTTTTCAGAAGCTCATTGTATTAGTTCTGAAAATGCTTTATCAAATGCAGAGTACCGCTGGAATTTGAAACTGCATAATAACAACTTAAGGGTGTGGATGAAAGTCARTGCTCCTACATTTGTAGTAATTACCTTATAGAGCTTGCTACCTGCAAGCAGTGTGTGTGTAATTGAGGTAAATAGATTACAGCCGTCAAATAGGGATTAGAGCCATCAAGAAGCTAAATTCTTTATGCAGAATAAGAATTTCAGATTCTGTGTATCTCCATACTTGTAGACAGAGAAAAGTCAGATGCCAGTAAAGCAGCTTTCTCTCTTGAGCATGTAGCAGAGTTTCTCTAGTATGTTTGGGCAAGAAAGAGGATGTGGCTTCTGGTTGAAGTATTRTTGTATTTGTGTTATAACTTCTTTGAGGCAGGAATCAAGTATTTCTTCATGGTCCAGTATCATATGCCTGGCAGATACACCTTCACCAAGAAGCTCCTTTTGTTAAGGATGGAGGAGACAGAGTTTTCTTTCTGTRCTGCCCCAGGGGTGAAGAAATTGACACCCGTGGCACCAAACCCCATTCTACATATAGTCATCTTCTATGTTCTCTGTGCACACTGCCCTTCTGAGACCAGGCATTTCCCACCATAGAAGTGTTGGGAGCCATGAAAGGTTGCCAGGAGATGACAGCAAGCTGGCAGAAGCTGTTACCTACATGACTTAGTGCACGACGGGAAAATGACCAGATCCTGGTGGTCCAAGGTTGTTACATCAACCCTTTGTTCTGACAAACAGCTGATTATATCAGCAGGTTGTTAATATACAAGGTGCTAGATTGACTAGGTTGCTTATTACTTTGCAAAAAAAGTTTAGTTTTCATGAATAGAAATGGCCAAGTGAGTGATCTGCATGGTTTGTCATGGTTCTAGTCATGTTCATGATAACTTGCAATTGCTAGGATCTACTTTTGAATGTTTACAGTAACCAGCTTCCAGTTCTATAATTACTCCTGTGCTTCCTAAGATTTATGTGGTGCCAACTGCACGGAGCTTGATGGACAGGAAAGGTATGCCATCCCTCTTTATAGAGGCAATGATTTCATTCCTATTTTTACCTGGGCATTTTCTATGTATTACATATTTAGTAAACTTTCCTTTTAAAAAAAACAGAAAAAAATAGAAGTGAGATTTATGCTGATACAGATGTTTTTGSAGAGGAAGTAAAGTCAGGGCTTAACATTTGGTGCAAAGCTGGGTTTTCTTAGCTATTGAAATCTTGCACAGCTAAGAAAGTCAGGATGTGGATGTGGCTTTTCTTACAAATCAACCATTGTTTCATTAACTAAGGCAAATGCTCATTAGGGCATGTTTGCAGGGAAATAATTTTGCCCCTGTCAAGCCAGGTTTCAGGGRGCATTCCTGAGTGACACTGGCCCTACTTCTCTATGGATAGCCCTGGCCATTCTGCAGATTTATCTCCTGCCCATCCTTTTCTTGTAGTCAAGAGCACGTGCAAGGTGTCCTCTTAGAAAGAGATTTGAAACTCATGAGCTGAAGGCAGGGTTCTGGGAATTGCTGAGGAAGGACCTTTGATGCCAGGTCATTGCTCCAAAGCACTGTCATCTTCCTCACCTCGTTTTTAYTATAAGTAAAGAAAAACTGAATTATGTCCTTGAGATTTATTGAACATGCTTCATGCACATTCCATGYGAATATGCTTTGTRCACWCTTCCACTTTGTGAAGGGAACATTWCATTAATTTCACTGCAACAGTTTGTCTAGGTAGTGTTAGGAATATTGATGAAAGTAGTAGCAGAATTAACACAGAGCTGGTTTRGGGTTCAYYTTAGCAACTGGATATGGTCTGTGCTCTTTGAAGGTTCATATAATGCTGGCTTYCTCTAAGAAGGGAGCTTGAAACGAGAACTTCCAGTACAGAATTACGGATATAAACTGTATAACGGCAGGAGTGGTATTCTCTCCCCAACACCTTCCCACCCATCTCACCAAGTTCTAGATCCAATTTAAAAACAAAAAGAAGATATTTTCGGTGTCTTAGTACCATAAATGGATCTCACCATACTGTGCTTCCTTTGTTTTGTCTCTCATCAGCAGTACCAAAATGTTACTTGACACTAATTGGCATCCTTGTTGGCAGAACCAGCAGAAAGACTCATAATGAACAGGAGTGGAGAATAAAACATTTCCTGTCCAAAAGGCAATCTTTTTATAGCAGTATMGTTTGATATCCACAATTTGGAATAAAACAAAGCTTGCTGTATTATTCTTTTGAAGTATTTATTATCCCACCTAATGGGATGGAAAGCAATAGAAATAGTTGCATCAAGTTGCCAAACTCAGTAGTAGTTTTCCAGCCACAACTGAATTGCGCAATTTATTTTTACTAATACTGACTTTCATTTCAGCTACTCTTTTCAGAAAAGCTCTATTCTGCAGCTGAGCCACTGTATTCAAAATGGCTTCCTGACACATTTTTCTTCACTTTAATTGGTCAGACACAAACCATGTTTCACACAGGAAACAGACACTGATGCTAATTCTAAMAATGAAAAGAGTGGTTTAAGAGGAATTTTATAAATACTGTAAAAGCATCAAATTCTCAGTTTTAAAATAATATTCCTGATCTCTTTGGATATATGCAACTATATGTATTTCCCCTGCCATGTGTGAAAATGGTGAAATGGACTCAAGTGCTGAATTGCGTTCTTCCGAAATCTCACTGGCCCATACAAATCACAGAGATTAGCTCTGTTGGTTAGAGCCTGGTGCTAAGAATGCAAAGTTGTGGGTTTGATCCCCACATGAGCCATTCACTTCCGAKTACGACTCGATTCCCTTCCAACTCAGAATATTCTGTGATTCTATTAAATCATTACMCACAAACCACCATTTTTGCAAATGTCCCAGATTTCCTTTCCTCTGAACTGGTACCCCCACATAATATGGAATAAACCTCCCATAAATAGCAGGGAATTACGCATTGTACATTTCTTGAAGGCTTGTSTTGGGATTGTAGTTGCCAGTAGTTACTCGGCATTTGTGAACACTGATGGCCTTCATCYAGAATACAGGAATAAAGATTGTGGGGAAAATTATAAATTTGGTGATCCACAATAAGGGCAGACACAAAAGGTGCATAGAACGTATTTCCCAGGTGTAGAAAAACCCATGTCTACTACAGCAAAGTATGTGGAGCTTGGTAATATTAATAGATAAAACTTTCCTCCAGGAAACTGGATCATTCTTAGTTCTTCATATGGGCATGATGGGACAGATTAGCTGCTGTGGTCAAAATTCACATGCAGCAGGAGAAGTTATCTGTCAGCTCCCAGGTAGATCAGCCAAAGTGAGGATTGTCTGGGGGCGTGCAGAGGACAGTGTGAGAATCCACACACAGTCACAGCCCTTTCTCAGTSTGGAAAACAGAGATACTGAGATGTCCAAGGATGAAAGAGGGTATTCATAGAGCTYTTGTGGAGTAATTTTTGACTCATACTTGCTTATGGCCCTTGCTGCAGAACTTATCAGGCAACTGCAGCCACAGTAGCAGAACTCTGCTGACATGACAGGCAGAGTCTTCCTGTCCTCCTCCAGGAACTCACTGAGTATGAAAACTGGAGGGATGGAGAAACATCTGTCTGCCTTGCAGTAACTTTTAAAGTCCGGAATCTCCAGTGATAAATAGTATAAATTTAAAAATCTCATTAATAAAAACCAGTATTTCTTTCTGTTAAAAGAAACCAATGCTGTCTTAAGATAGCATCTAAAACTTGCAAGATGAATATTTGCACTTCSTCCATGGCAGTAACCAGTCCATAGGACACTTAAGAATACCGTTCAATATATCATGAAATGCAAACACCCAGAGATGGCTTTGTACTACAGCTGGTGTGTGCCACCTGTTGAGCCTGCAAAAAAGGGGGGCCTGAGCAGAATTCATTTTCTCATGCCAGATCAATTCTGTCACTTTTGTTGTTGCGGTTTCCCAAGCTGCTGCTGGCCTTCATGTCCATGTGCTTGGTGTCATTTCTTCCCTGACATTTCATCCCTCCAGCACCTTCCCTGAGCAGAAACTCATGAAGCATTTTTCACGGCTGTTTGTTCTGCTCCAGGGGGTTGGGATGCGGATTCCCAGATCAGATCAGCAGCTGAATAGGTGGGATGGGTTCTCAAAAGCTTTGTTTTCCTGAATTGAGGGGTAAAAGAAACTCTTGGAGAAAACAGGCTACCAGTTGCCTTCTTTGAAGCACGTGGCCTACCTAGGCTTCAGTGAAGCCTTTGGTACTATTTCCCGCGGTGTTCTCCTGCAGAAATTGTTCCATGTTCCCATGGTATGGATGGGTGCGCTTTCCTCTGAGTAAAAAATATTGGCTGGATGGTCAGGCCTGGAGTATTCCCSAGGGCTTGGTATGGGGGCCAGGGTTCATTACTGGGGCCAGTCCTCTTAATTACCTTTACTAAGGAGATCTTTATCAAGGGTTTAAGGGCAGCAAAGGTGACTTTGTGGATAACACCATGTTGGTTGGGAGTGTTGATCTTCTGGAAGGTAGGAGGGCTCTACAGARGAGTCTGGACAGGCTGGATTGATGGTTCAACGAGGCTGAGTGCTGGGTCCTGAATCTGGGTCACAAGAACCCGATGCAAGGAACACCATCCAATGCTCCAGGCTTGGAGATGAGTGACTGGAAAGGTGCCCATCGGGAAAGAAGCTGGGGGTGCTGGTCAATAGTGAGTGAACGTGAGCCAGTGTGTGCCCAGGTGGCCAAGGAGGCCAATGGCATCCTGGCCAAAAAATGTGKTCAGCACGAGCAGTGATTGTCCCCCTGTGCTTGG